TGGTTTTGGCAGCTGTGTCCATACTCTATTCCAAAATACCAGCTCGCTCAGATCACTCTTCGGGCGACCTTGTTCACAAGCTTTCTTCTAAATTCCTCACCAGCACACAACTCGCAGTTCTGGGACGTGGAGCTACATTCAACACAGCAGACGCTGCACCCGCAGCGTTCATTACCGCATTGATTTGTATTTCTGGGTTGTTGAACTATGTCAGTGGAAACACAAACGTCAGAAGAGACGAAAGAGTTGAACTGCCACAAAACATCCTCTTTGTTAATGCAACACAAGAAGAGCGAAACTTTCAGCAAAGAAAAACAGCAAGCATTAAAAAGCCTTAAAGCAGACTAAACATAATCATCCTGCAGGCTGACAAAGGTGGTTCCACAGTAGTGCTTGACAAATCTGACTACTAGAAGGAAGCTTTAAGCCTGCTCGACGATTCACAGTCCTATAAACTTTGTCCAGCCAGTGAGATGACAAATCTGCTTACTGAAATAAACAAAAGTCCAGAAAAACTCAGAGCATATGGCGCAATCACAGCCAGAGATTGGTTTTCTATGAAACCCTCTGACTCTAAGAACGCGCGGTTTTATGGTCTGCCGAAGGTACACAAAGCGAACATACCGCTTAGGCCCATCGCCTCCCTACGTGGCACTCCTACATACGGTTTGGAAAAATGGATGTTTTCTCGTCTTTCATTCCTGGCAGAAGGTTCGCCAAAAACAGAGACGTCTGCTAATCAATTCCTTGAACGTTTAAAACATGTGAAACTAGAGCCAGATGAATCCGTAATATGTTTAGATGTCGTTCCATTCTTCACCTCAATTTCACAACAACTAGCGATTGACGATGTTAGACAACTCCTTGCTACAACGAGAGAGACAATACCTTGAAGACCGAACATCTCATGTAGCTCTTACGGTATTGCCTCAAAACCTATTTCACTTTGGTGGACAAACGCATGAACAAATCAAAGGCACCCAATGGCCTCCCGCATATCGTAGCTGATTGCTGAAGTGGTGTTCACCAAGTATCAACCAAAGTTCTGAGCTCGTTAGGTTGAAGCCACTTTCGCAATTGGTACATCACCTGAAAGAATTAGTGAACTCGGTTGACCCGAATATCCAATTCACACTGGAAGCTGAAACAAACAACCACATCCTTTCCTCGATGTCCTTGCGCCTCGATGTGCAACTGGGCAGTTAAAAACAAACGTCTTCAGAAAAGCATCCAACACAAGACAAATACTACACTTCAACAGCAATCACTACCTCTCGCTCACACACACACATGGAAGTTCGACCGTCGATTTCGACGATTTCCACCGTGTGCCCCACAGCTGCAGCAGCGGTGGAAGCAGGGACGCTGACTTGCGCAGGGGCTCCTAGTGCCAGTAGACTTGCGCTGCATCTACCTACAATTTCTCCTCCTTCCCTCGTCCGAGCCCGGCGTCAAGACAGAGTCAAGAAGACCGGAGACGGGGGAGGCCGCAGGTGGATGGCTCGGTCGGATCCTCACCTTGGCGTTCCACCACACCCCCTGGTCCACACAACAAATAACCGGAATTTTCACCAACACAACAGAGATTTGGAGGCTAACACGGCCGAAGCCGCACCTAGGCGTGCCGCCGTCGCCTGGCTCGGATCCCACACTGTGGTGGGAGTGCCGTAAGGCCACACTGAGAAGGAGCCATTGCAGTCTGACTCTCAGACCGCCTCCCGTGAAGGAGGAGGTCCAAGTTACCCCGTCGGTTGGCAACCTTCCAAGCCACGGCTTTTAGCGCACCGTGATAGCTTCAAGCGCGTCAGGTTGTTCATAGTGAGGAAAATGCGCTGAATCGTCGGACTCACTCTCCCTTCCCATTCCCAAACCCCAGCCGCTGTCCGAACCGGTTGACAAACTGGAGTGGGGAATGGGCGCGGTGGCTGGCACGGTCGACTGACCATGCCTACGCGCGCCACAGCACGACCTGGCCCCCCATACACACACAAACACCAGGATTTCATACAACGGGGGTTTAACGACGTGTCTCTCACTTGCGTGAGAGGGCCGTGGAAGGTGCAGTTTCAGCCCGTCCCCAGCCCACCAGTCCGCCACTACACACAACCCACACACATACAACGCGACGAACTGCGTGCGCCGAGAGCGGGCCTCAATCAGCAACCTTCCTATCCACGACGCTTGACGTGTCGGAATAGTCTCGGACTCAAGTTCCCCGTGCAGCCGAAGCCGCATGAGGACCGAGTCGAGATGCAAACTTCCCACTTGCGTGGAAGGTGGCAGTTGGTTGCATGAGGTTTGGGAGTGTTGATGAGTGGTTGTGGTGGTGGTGGTGGTGGTGGTG